CCTGAAGGCAGCTCGACTTTAAAAATGTAGTACGGTGCCATATTAGGAATGTGTTTCTGTTTAGACCACTGTTCCCACAACATTTTCTTCCTCAGTGTTTGCTGTTCTCCAGTTAGCTCAAAGCAACAACCAAAAAGCTGCAGTAACAGCATGGACAGTCAGCTGTATTGTATTCACTGACACTCCTACACACAAGGAATCTCCATTAGCATGTCTTCAAAGGCCTGTTGTGGGCATCATACTAATCAGTTAGAGACAGAAAGAAGTCCTGGTGAGGGGATCAGACAAAAGACAGTAGAGGTTAGAGACATTTTCAATGGGATAGATAACCAGGAGGATGGGGCTCATTCAAGTCACTGCTATTGAGATGCTGATGTCTGCAAACAGTACACAAACACCATAAACCCAGCTTTCTGCTTTAAAGTCAAACATGTTTTAAGGAATATGGCTAAAACACTCCGCTTGATGTTTTCCACCAAATAAAGTTCATTTATCTTGGTAAATGTTGAAATTACATCTACTCCTTCCTCCTCAATTTTGTTTCAAAACTTAAATTGCTGCACACAACATGTCACTACTTCACTCAAAAGTTAAGGTTTCAAGTTCCCACATCACACTTGTGTAAGCTGCCTATTGGGCCAGGATTGCGACAAAATGTCAATAAGACACGCTCATGCTGACACATCCTAAATTCAGATTTACGGTGCAGAGTGCAGAGAAAATATTCCATCTTCAGCAGATAAATGTGTAAACAGGCTCATAGCATCAAACTCTGCACAGTGAAGCACAAACATCCAAGTTAAGCAACAATAAGCAAAACACATTTAGAGAGCGGGACTCAAAATCTCTTGAAAGCATTTGAGAGTGACACTCACCTGAGACACTGTGGCAGACTCATCAAGACTCAGGGAAAAACAGAGAAACCACAAATTTAACCATACACACACAAGATGAGTAGTACTCTTCTGAAGAAACTTATGAATAACATGCAACTTGTGAGGCCTTTGAAAAATCAAGTGATTTGGTGGGTGAAAACCGTGGAAATGTGTCAGAATTCAACACCGTTTAGATGAATGAAGCTGTTGTCACAAACATCTCCACTTTCTGGACTAAGGGAACTGTGTAGCTACATACAGTAGCTATGCAGAAAGACATTTGTTAATTCAGCGTGTGTTATTCTGAGGTCACCTGCTTAATGTATGTATACCACTTACAATAAGTTTACAGACAGGCTATTTGACATTGACATATGTTATACCTTTTGAATTTAGGCAGCATCGTACTACGTGATGGCAATTTGAGTGATGACATTGTTTTTCTGTATTTTTATGGTGTTTTGATTTAATTTGTTCATCGTGTGTTCTAGAAGTCGCGACTGGGTTAAATGGCTGTTAAATTAGATAAATTATTGTACTTACAGTGTCAGGTGTAAGTACATGTTTATCAATTTGACATGAAGGGACAGCAGAGGCAAGGTTTCCAGGTAGACACAATAATGTTTATTAACTATATGAACTAAAAACAAGATGTAAGAGCGATGTAAGAGATTTTTATTGGTGACCATTAAAACATGCATGACAGTACTAGAAGCTAAAACCCAAACATACAAAAGCGTGGCAGTGTGAGTAATGAATACTTGACAGGGGGGAGGGTAACTGCCTACCAAGCCAGGGGGAATTTCAGGGGGAGACCCACTCTGGCCAATGCAAGAAAAAGGGGGGTGAGGTTATGCACACACACTGACACACAAAAATAAAGTGCAAGGTGAAAACACAGCAAACAACGCTCAACTGAGTTAAAAAAGGGGCGGGTACTTAGGGAGCTAGGCCCCAGCTTTGAAAGGCCCCAACTGTCCCTTCCTCAGTCAGGTTTCAACCTAAAAACTTCAGAAAAACATTAGAGTGGAAATGTGGGGGATTCTCTTCTGTTAAGATACACCTTTACAAACTATCACAGAAATAAAATACACTAAATCAGTGCTTAGGAGTCATGGAATGGATTGAATCAGCCCGCACTTTGGGCAGGAACAGGCATTCACCTCTTTAACATCAGACATCCAACCCAGGGGGTGTGCTATAGCCATCAAGGGAAAATCTGGCCACCGGAAAGAGGAGCGGTGTTTCTGTAGCCTGAGGGTTTGCATGGTATGTATGTAGAGCAGCACAAATGAGCTACACCTGGTGCCCATTCAAACCTGATCAGGCTCATTTAAGATGGACTGACCTTTAGAGGGGCCCAGCCAACCCTACTACATTTACAAAACTGCTGCTCTTTAGAACTCCTCCAAAGCTGTTATTTTATTTCAATTATTTAATGCATTTTTGATAATGTCCTCGTCAGATGTATGTCCTGGGCATGACACTCATTTAAATAAAGCTGTTATTTAAAAAAAACAAAAACCTAAAACACTTTACTTTTTTCAGGTATTTGCTCTCAGTTACAATGCTTAATCACCTTGATATCCATTAAAATATGAGATGTAATAGGGCAATACATTACAAGGCTTTGAAAGGGCATAATACATTTTGGAACAATGCACTGTACAAGTCATGGTGAACTCCTGAACACTGCTGCCCCCAGCTGGTCATCATAGGTAACAGTAGGGGTAGGGGTGAAAACAATTAACACAAGTACCACTTTCATGCATTGGGGCACCAGTGTGTAGAAAATGTTCTAGAATGTAGGGCAGCCTGTATGGCACTGCATCGTGTTTTCTCCTCTGGAAGGGCAACCTAGAGGACACTAAGGGTTCATTAAAGGGTGTGCTGCCTATTTAGCTGTGAACACATGTAGCATGCATCCACACTTGACCTCCATGTCAAATTAATTCTCCTTGTGCAAGAACCAAAGAGTGTGTAAATTTCTGATCAACTGACCAGCTGACAGATCGAGCTATGCAGCTGTTGGTCATGGCAAAAAGAGAACACAGGACAAGACTGTAACTGCATTCTGTCTTAGTCCCAGTGTTCAGCCATCTTTATTTGCAATGACAGTCCCAAAGACAGTTCTTCTCCTCTGAAAAGCAAAGTCTAACATTGCACTTGCTGCATAGTGTGTTGGGACAGATTTTGGTGGACTCCCCTCACCTGAGTATGGTCTCTTCTGAGCATTCAAAGGGCTCGTTGATGTCTCCGTCTGTGTTACTGGGCCTCTATTGACTGAAGGTCACACTGTCCCTAGTGTACTGAGAGTTGTGTTCACCTGAATTGGATTAGAACCAGGATGAGAGAGGATGCTAGTTGTGCATCTCTGTTTGAAATCTCGAGAGCTTTGCAGCCGCGCTTGTAGAGGAGCCAGGCGTTGATCACAGTGAGGATAATAGTGTGCCAGAAGATGTAGCTGTACCAGCAGCAGGATTTCATGGGGGAATTGTATTTGGCTGTGAATCCAACATATTGACACCTCCCATGTTATTGGTTGTAGGTACCCACAGTGTAAGGCCTCTCAACTCCAGTGTAGGTTGGCATTGTCCCAGCATTGAATCCTCTGCAGATTCTGGTCCAGCAAAGGATGACATAAAGAGTGACCGCACCATTCTCATGCTTCCTTCTCGAAGCATGGAGGCAAGCTTCATCAAAGTATCACCTGAAGATTCAAGTTCAGATTTGGCTCATATCATGTTGACACAGCCTCAGCACACATCGAGGTCATAGAGCATGCCCGTTCTTATCCACACTTTGGACTCCCACTGATGCGGTTTGCCTCGCAAATTATTTCTTACTGCTGCTGAATTTCCCCTTGAGAGGAATCTTCATCTCAGCCATGGAGTTGTTCTCTTTTTGTACCCACCTGCAGGCACTTTTCTTGAAATGAATCAAACCATGGCCTCTTCAGAGTTTGTCTTTATTTTCTTTCTTTTTTTATGACACTGTAAAGTTGTTTACAAAATTTAATGATGTCAACAGAGATTGGAATCTGTTGCGTGGCATCACATCACAAGCAGGGGAGCACCGCGTGTCTCTCTCCCAATACACATGGACTCCAGACATTGGCATTAGGCCCATCTTCAGGTACATGCCAACCACTTTCTCAGTTTCCTTTGTACTAGTGTTTACAGATATCTTGGTCTTCTGAAAGATGAAGTTATTTGTCTGCCACACTAGGGTTCAGCACGCCCAGGTGCCTGCCACACAATGCACCTGGTCCCTGATGCTGGATTCATGCGGGTGGTGGGTCCACAGGGCGGTGGTGGCCTGGCGCCCAGGTAGTGGATGTTTGCCAGGTAAATGTGTGTGGTCAAAACACTGCCGTGACCCGGATTCGAACCGGGGTTGCTGCGGCCACAACGCAGAGTACTAACCACTATACGATCACGGCGAGCTATGCAAGCTGACTAATTCACGGGGGTTTCTACAGGAATGTTTCCGTCATTTATTAGTGGACACATTCTGTTACGTCAAGCTTTGCGATTAAAAGGGTCCAACATTCACTAGGCAATAAAGCAGAATTAAGTTATATTATTATTACAGTTTTTCTGTCGTATACTTTTAAAGCCGAGTGAGAAATAACGTTCACATTAAAGCAAAGATCGTTTGGGTAGAAGGAACCATCACTTTATAGTAAAGTTTTGAATCACAATCTGGTTTAGAGGAGAGCTGTAAACCACTCATGCGCTCCACTGTATGGAAATTTGGAATTACGTCCTTTGTATGTGGAAACTGTAGCTTTGGTAGCTTTAGCTGTGTCCAAGGAAACATAATATTTATAGTTTCTTTGGTGGTGTCGAAGAGTAAAACCGGGGTGATACATCTTCATTTTTTAACCTCTCTGACTGTGGGCGTGGCTTGCGGCAGTTTAAAAATGTAGCCGATAACTGATTGGTCGATAGCGCTGTATTCATATGGATTTGATACATCCTCTTCACCCATTGGACAAGATGTAGCCATCCCTCGCGCATGATTGGCTGATTAAACACCAAGACCGAATTTCAAACTAGATTGTCATTCGGTTTGTTGTTGAAGGAAGTGTGTTCTAACGTTTGTTAGCTGGTTAGTATCAGGGCAGAACTCGTGTTAGAGAGCTGCCGACTTTGCTAGCAGCGCACATGCTACACGCTAGCTGTTTTTACAGAAGACGAACTTTTTAACATGTAGCTAGCTAATAGCTTCTGCTATCTTTTTTATTTAAAATGGCTGAAACGTTGCCTCCGACACGGAAAGGATTCCTGGACTTCAGTCCAATAAAGAGAGAGGACGTTAACAAGGAGAACGACGTCCCGGTGTTGGTTTTGACCCTGTTTTCAAAGGCTCCCTTTGTGACATTTGGGACAGTAAAGCTGGGCACCTCCAGGTCAGTTGTTCTGCGTATTGAGAACCCGAATGAGGATGCAGAAGCGGAGGTCATTGTTGAAAAGATCCCATCGAGTAAAGGCTTTTCTGTGGACCACAACACGTTCACGATCCAGGTAAGTTTTTAGCTCACAGCTTTCCTCTAACGCTACACCAGAGTTACAGAGCATCTTTGGTCACACGAAACAAGCTGTAATCGTGCTTAGGAGTTTTGTTGTGCTAACATTTCGACAAGTTAACATCTTAACTCTCTGAAGTCCTTATTTATTTCTTCCCTAGCTGTACTAACACACCCCACAGTGAGTGTACCCATACTGCTTGCTTTGTCCTTTGTAAGGTTGCAGTTGCTCCACATCTTGCCTTGTGTTTTGTGTTTGCAGCCTGAGGATTCATTCACTCTGACAGTAACCTGGACCCCAACAGAAGAAGGTGGAATCAGAGAGCTCATCATCTTTAGTGCCAATGGAGTCCTCAAGCACCAGGCTGTGCTGCTGGGTAGAGCAGAGGCACCCAAAAAGAAAAAGGTATTTCTCCTCAGCTGGACACTAAAATGCACCCAAATGGATGAAGACTGTTAATAATTCTGGTTGAAATCAGTCAGTTAATCAATGAGTTGATAGACAGAAGGTAAGATGGCAGTTGTTCTCTGATATTATACAGACAAAATGATTAATTGCAAAAATAACTAGCTGATTAATAGATCATGAACATGATAGTCAGTTGCAGCCCCAACTTCAAGCCTGATTGGCCCGATTGGTACGTAGTTAAACTTGGCACAAGTTCTAGCAACGGTTTGATCATGATTTTTTTTTTTTTTATTCAAACAAGGGTTGCAGTGGTATACCTGTTTTAGGCATACTGTGATTTGAAAATTGACACACCATGTTCATTTGCTTATTTATGGAATTGAAGAAATAAAATGCAACCGGACAGAGAATCTCACCTGCATGTGCACATTTCCTTTCTTCCTTAACTACCTGTCTTTTATACATACTTCTACTAAAATATGGTTTTAAGTTTGAATTGATATAAATCATTTGTTGAACAAAAAACCCCATTTGTTTTCATTCAGGGGTTATTTTAATTTGTTATGATAATAATAAAAAAATGTTTATACTGTATATTGTAAGACCCTGATATTTCAGAGACCGTTATTGTATGTGAAAATCTCATACCTTTGCACCCCCTTTTCAAACATAATCAGGGAACTTTAACGACTGCATCTAATAGTATAATTTTCACATGGCATATATCTTAAATGTTTTTCTTTTGTGTTTCAGAAAAGCTTATGGGACACAATCAAAAACAAAAAGGAGGGTGAAAAAGTCGCTGCGCCTAGGAGAAAGAAAACAGAACAACCACTGAAGATGGCGGCCAACAAAACCTTCCAAGTGTCCCGAAAGCCACAGTACAAACGGGAAAAGCCACGCAGCCCACTTGCTTCTCTCAATGAAGGCAAAGCTGTCAAAGAGAGGTCCCTCTCCAAGCACAGTCCCATTGACGATTACTCCCGGAAATCAGAGGAGCAGAAGGTCTTGAATCCCACCCAGAGGCAACGGTCTCTGGGATTGTTGAACCAGGAGAATATCCATCCTGTTCAGAGGAATTCTCCTCTTGTCCTACTCGTCCCAGCTGTAAAGCTGATGGACTCTGGCAACGTGTCTGCGAGCCCAGATGTCTCGGTGGGCAAACCTGATAATCCAGATCTTACCAAAATGCTCAACAGGACGCTGTCACCTATCGGGACACCAGAGATGTTTAAGAAGCTCATGCCACGCATTCAGTCAGATAACCCACTTTCTGTTCCTGAAAACCCTGTGGCTGATGTTGATGATGCTGACAGTGTCTTAAGTGGAGCCCCTGTTCTCTCTTTGAAAGATGCTCTCCTTCTCATTGACTCGGATCTGAGCCACATTATCACCAGTCCTCGAGAGACTAGTTCCAGCTGTGGCTTCTCAGATTCACTGGAATCCAAGAGTGGGAATTATGGCTATGGACATGACAGAGATGCCATCAAAGCATTACATGACAGCCCACAGGGGTCAGAGCCCAGTGAGCCAAGACTTACTTTCTTTGTCAGCAAAAAGGTTGTTGTGAGTGACGTTGTAGTTTCAGAGGCAGGTGATGCTACGGAAGGGGTCAAAAAGGCCTCTTTTTCCTCTGCCACAGTGACCAAGGGCAAGGCACCAGTGGAGGCAAACCTTTCCAGTGGCAGGAAATTAAAAAAGTCAAGGCGAAGGCTATTGGAGAAAACACTTGAGCTGTCTGACAGCAGCAGTCAGTGTGAGTCTGGACCAGGCACTCCAAACCTTCCTGTTATAGACGTTGACAGAGACACCCGGGGACGGCTAAATTCTGAGGCTGCCAGCTCCCTGTGTGACAATGGACACCGAGCCCAGGAGTTAAACCCCTCCAGTCTGACTCCAGGGCTCGACAGCTCACCTGCACCCATCACCTTCCCCATCACCTCCCCTCCATCTATGGCACCTACTTGCTTCTCTTTCTCAGGCCCTTCTCCATCTCCTGTAACCCCCACTTCCATTGCTTTTACTGTCACCTCGCCATCGCCCTTGGGCTCATCTTCTCCTCTCCACCACAGCCTCACACCTCGCATTTCTCCAACTGTTTCGGCCCCTCAGTCGGTTCAGGAGGACTTGTTTCCGGTTCACATGGCAGTGAAGAGCAAGAAGAGGAAGAGTGAGGAGTATTTGAGAAGTGATGAGAAGACCGAGGATGCTGGGAAAACTGAGCATGTCAAAAGGAGCAGGGTGGTAGCTGGAAAACCTGGGCCCCCAAGATCAGTCCAGGAGAGGAGAAGTGTGTCCCAGAGGCAACAGCCGAGAACAGCAGGTGAGCAAATCTAAAGTATATATCTATGTCAGATGTTACTGTGTGTGATTAGCTTTAAGACGCACCTAGAGTTGCCAGTTTATTAGGCACACCTAGCTCAAACAAATGCAGTGTTGAGACTGTTTTAGAGAGGCGTTGACTCAATTTGATGGTCATTTTGGAGGATGCAGTTTGTAGTGCTGTTGAACTATATTGTGTTTTAAGCTTATAAAACTTGAATAGTGGACATACCAGTATGCATCATGTATGTTTTTTTTCGTTCTACTCAAATTCTACATTTATGCTATCAGGCGACCTGATATGCAGTAAATATTAGAGATAAAGATATATTGCTTTACGAGTAAGCACTGGCATTAAATCAAATTTCATGAGTTATTTAATTAGTTCATTAAAAGGTGGTTTGAGGAGATAGTTTTCTCTGTTCTGTTGTTTTTCACTCCACAATACATTATACAAAGGTATTTTAACAATTAAGGCCACTATATATATATATATATATATATATTATATATATATATATATTTGTCATTTGCTTTTTTAAATTTATTTTTTATTTTTATTTTTCAGGCTCTGTGCGATTAATGAACACATCTCTAAAGACTGCGAGGTCTGTTGTTCCTGCTCAGGCAAAGCAGTCAAGCTCCAAACTCACCTCACGAGGTATAAATTCATGTAGAAATGTCTTAAGATGGAGAATACCTGTCATGTAAGACTTAATTGCTGCTCTTGAAAACATAAATATGTGGAGAAATTCAAAATGACATTTTTGCTGTTGTTCACAGGTGTGCAGCCTCTGAAGTCATCTGTTACTTCATCAGCGAAGACAAAAGTTGTTGCTGTTGCACAGTCAAAGCTGACCTTTATTAAACCGTTGCAAACAGGTATTTTGATGGCAGAACATTGTAAAAGGTGTACTTGTGATGTGTGTGAAAACGTATTTTGCTTTTTTTATTGTAAACTTTTAAACAACTTTTCTGCATCTACTCTTTGTTCCAGCCATACCGAGACACCCGATGCCGTTTGCTGCTAAGAACATGTTCTATGATGAGAGGTGGATTGAGAAGCAGGAGCGAGGATTCACGTGGTGGATCAACTACGTCCTCACCCCAGATGACTTTAAAGTTAACACTGAAGTCGCTAAAGGTAACATTCAGCAGGCTATCACTACTTAAACATGGAAAAATGTTTAATATGCAGAGTGTAGTGTTTGGTTTCAAGAAATGTATAAATTATCTCGTAGTAGCTTCCGGATCATTTGCCAACTCAGTAAAAGTCTGAAATATTGTCTTTATAATTCATTTCACCTCTAGTGAGTGCTGTGTCCCTTGTCATGGGCAGCGATGACAAGTACAGCGTGCCTAAAGCTCCCACCAAAGAGGAGATGTCTTTCAGCACCTACACGGCCCGACGCAAGCTAAACCGCCTTCGTCGTTCAGCCTGTCAGCTGTTCACATCGGAGGCCATGGTCAAGGCTATTCAGAGGCTGGAACTGGAGGTCGAGGCCAAGAGGCTGCTCGTCCGAAAAGACCGCCATCTTTGGAAGGACATTGGTAATTAAACATTGCATCATAAAACCTGCCAGCGTATGTTTTTTTAAATGCTCTGAAGTTCCGATTCAAACCGATTCTTGTTTTTCGTCATTTTTCAGGTGAACGCCGAAAAGTCCTCGACTGGCTCCTGTCGTACAATCCACTGTGGTTACGGGTTGGGCTCGAGGTATTCTGATACAACACTGTTTCCTTCTGCTTTTTAACATTTGTCTTTCCATACAGTCTTGTCAGTTTCTTCTCTATCCATGCTCCCCTTACTAAACACAATGATGCTCGTTCTCAGACGATCTTCGGGGAGTTGATCTCACTGGAGAGCAACAGCGACGTCTTGGGTCTGGCTATGTTCATCCTCCAGCGGCTGCTCTGGAACCCCGACATCGCTGCTCAGTTCAGACACTCCAAAGTGCCCCACCTTTACAAAGACGGTAATTTAAGAGCATCAGTGATTGTGCAGTCTGAACTGGAGACTGTGGCTTGTTACTGTCATAGCTGCAAACAATTTCAGGAATATTTGGATAAGGAGACTTTCTTTGGGAACTACTTGTGGTATATTTGAGTGTCGGGTTGTATTCACCTTTTTCCACACAAGCAGAAACATAAACCTCTTCTGCCGTATCAAAAGCAAACAGAAATACAACCTGATTGACAATGTAAATTAAAAATGACCTCAAGTTTCAGTATTAGTTCAGCTTTAATTAAACAAGTTTCCTTCTTGTCATTCTGTCACTGACAAAACTTTTTAATTTCCTTTAAACAACAAAAAGCTATGACATTTTATGCAGATATTTCCCAAATGAGAGCGTGTTGCCTCTCAGTCATGTAGGTTATTATTAATTTCTGTTTCTAGCATCATGCATAATGACATTATGCATGAAATCATCTGTAGATACAAGTCTTGCCAACTAAAAGGAGAATACATTGGGTTCAATGGGTTGCTATTTAATGGGAAATAAGTACAACTGTAACGCTTGATTCAAATTATGTTGCAACATCTGTAATTGCCTGAAATTTAGAGCTGCAGTTTATGATTATTTTATTTATTGACCTGGAGATTATTTGGTCATTCAGCAATTATTCATTAAGTCTCTAAAATATCAGAAAAATGTAAAAATATTGATCACAAGTTTAAACCCCAAGTATATTCAATTTAAAATTATATTAAACAGCAGATTCTCGCATTAAAAAGCTTGAACCTAACCATATTTTGAGATTTTGCCTCAGAGATTAATGATAACTTTTAGGTCATTGGAAAAAATGTACTAAATTCCCAAGCTTTATTTTTATTTCAGAAATTGTTCCAGGAAAAGTCTGCAAAGTTTCTGACCTCCTTAAAAAATTCACATTTGCTATTGCAGCTTCTATGCTGTTAATGAAACTTGTAAATTGATCAGAGTACCTATTCCTTTAAGCCATTTTTATGATCAAAATATGGGATTTAATATAAAACAATCAGAAAGTCCTCTGTAGTATAACAAAACAAGGGTGTTTCATATTGTGTTACTGAAAGCTGTCTATATGCTGTGTACATTTTAACACCTGTGTTCCTTCGGACTGGTGTTAACATGTCTTTTCTTGGTTAGGCCATGAGGAGGCACTGTCCCGCTTTACTCTGAAGAAGCTGCTCCTGCTGGTGTGTTTCCTGGACAAAGCCAAAGAGTCCCGGCTGATTGAACACAACCCCTGTCTGTTCTGCCTGGACGCAGAGTTCAAGGTAGGCCAAGACCTTCCCATGTCAACGACGAACATTAAGGGGCCATTTGATTTATGTGTGTTCTCCTGACAACTGGAGCTGACGGCACAGAAGCAGACAGTCCGATCATTGAGCCTTGCAGAGTGTAATGATATGAGTATCATGGGCGTCATACTGTGTTAACTTGTGTAAATGACTGTACACTGCCTATTTTACTACCTTGACCTACGTCTTAATTAATTAGGGAGCTGAGACCAACACTTACTGTTTACATAAATATTTATATACAGATCAATAATAAGATGGCTTCCTGGACAGTTCATTATCAGCAGAGCAAAGCTACCTCATGTTTAGACCAAATCTTAATTTGAGCGTCCTTATATGTATCAGCAAAGACATGACTGTAGTGTGGAGTTCTTTAAAAATTCCTTTAGGGCCCAGGGTTGTAGGTTTTAAAAGAGAAAACATAATACATGCATACATCTACCTTTGTATCTGAGAGGGAGATCGCATACATCTTTAAAGGCAGAGGAGCACAGACCCAAAAACCATCCATAAGTGAACCTCACACTCCCCACTATCCTCATGTTTTCCACAATGAAAACCTTTTCACATTGTTTCTTGTGTTTTCTCTCATTAGATCTTTCTGGGTCTCATTAACCTCTGCCCTGCTGTATGTTTTCTCTTTACAGACGAGTAAAGACCTTCTCCTGGCTTTCTCCAGGGACTTCCTGAGTGGAGAGGGGATCCTCCCCCGGCACCTCGGCTACCTGGGGTTACCTGTCTCCCACGTTCAGACGCCCCTGGACGAGTTCAACTTCGCTGTGAAGAATTTGGCAGTCGATTTGAAATGCGGCATTCGTCTAGTGTGAGTGAGACGTCCTGAATTTTAATGTGATGCCCTGATCCCTGCCGGGATGGTCGTGTTTCTCAGAGGTCAGGCTCAGCTACATGGTAGTATCCCTGCAGCTGGGAGGGATTCAGTGTTCAGCAGAGTTGTTTCAGACCTGGGATTTCCTCACTGACGGATGCTCTCTCTAACTGTCCTACCGATATAACAGTATTGCTGATCATAGTTCAACCCTGTGTGTGTGTGTCTCTTGAGGGTGTTTCTTTTTTGTGGCACATTTGTTTCATTTAATACACAGAAATGTGTGTTGAAAAATGTAACAGCAAAGAACCAGCAGATATTTGTAGAGTAAATCTCTTCCCGGGCAATTCGACTAGTGACTTCTTTTAGGCTAGATTTCTTCTTCATGGGTCTTTCCCTGGCTTTTGGAGGATTAAATGTCAAAGAGCCTCACACAGCGATTTAAGGTGAGCAGAATCAAAAGAATTGCGTGATAAACTCATCAGGAAAAGGGCAGACTTAATGGTAAAACATTTTGGGCTGTATGCCAAGCAGCTGTGGGAAGTACATGAACCCTTTCCACAAGATCGTTGGCAGGAGTAAAAGAAAAATAAAATTGGAAAGCTGTTATTTAGATAATCATTCATATAGTTCTTAGTTGGATGTTATCATGTGCGTGCACTGGAACCCTCTCAGAAAAAACTGCTCCATAGTGCACTCCTTGTGATTTAAAACTCCCAAGACGATATAAAATGTATATTATATTGTATTATTTATATCATAAATGATAGATCTGCTGAGTTATCTTTCCATGTATTAACTTTGGTTGTATTAGCCATTGTGGACAAAGTGGTGCTAATTGTTGGTGATCAGTTAGCAGGATTAGCCTCAGGGCGTTAGTTTGCAGGGTTCAGCATTAATGTTTTTTTTTGTTGTTGTTGTTTTTTTTAAACCTTGCTCAATTTGGGCGAGTTGGTCAAAAATCTACTTGCCCCTATACAATTTTTAAAATTTGTTTTTTTGTTGTTGTTTTTTTTTTTTAAAACAAACAAACATCAAATTAATGTTAAATGCATGTTGTTGTTTTGTGATTTGTCTAATATAATCTTCACTTAAGTAAAAGAATCAGAACAAGGACAGTATCAAACAACAAACACCTCTTTGTATGGCACTCCTGCAGTGTTTTTCAGAAACTTGATCCGCCTTTGAAAAAGAGACTGTTTTATCCACCTTGCTCTTAAACTTGCAGCAGACTGTGCAAACATAGTTGGGAGTTTCAGCCACATCCTCTAATGCCACCCAGCTAAACTCCTGTTTCCAGGAACTGGAGATGCTCGCTTGCACTTCAGCTCATTCTTGCTCTTGTGAGTGCCTGCTCGGTACTGCGTATCTGCTGCTCTCAACAGATGAGATGAAAGCAAGGTCTCTCAGTACTTGGGTACTTCCATCATTATCTTTTTATTAAAAAATTATGTGTGTAATTCTTTTTTTACCACTTGTGCGATTGGGCAAGTGAGCTGCTGGATTTACTAAGCCTGATGCGGTATTTTACTGCCCAGGGCAATCACGCAATCCTTATTGTTGAGCCCTGGGTACGATTAAGGACCTCAGTTTAAAGAGGCTAGCCATCTAAATGTTTAATCTGCAACCAGTTTATCAATAACATTTATAGAAAATAGATTCCATCAGGAATTTGTTGTAGTATAAAATGATCATGATAGAAGATAAATGTACCCATATTGTTCACCCCCAGTTGGGATGCAGGAGAAAGAGCTAATTAGTTGAATAATCTATACTGAGCTGCTCTAATTAAAGCCAAAGCAACAACAGAGTTGTTGTTTTTTTACCCAGAAACATACAGGAATTAAATGCTTCTGGCCTTTTCCCCTGCAAAAATTAGTTTCCTACTCCTGTTTTTTGAAATTTAAAACAAAAACATTGCATAACACATTTAAAAGGAGCTGGTTAAGAGTAACCTGTGAAGTTATTTATAATGATGTAGGTTGTGGTTAAACCATCAGTGTTCATTGATTCTATAGTAAATGGAAGCAGCGAGGTTATTGGTGGAGCGAAGAAGTGCCACAGCAACAAGAACAAGGTTACCAAAGATGTAAAAAAAAAATGAATCATCTTTGTAATGTTTGTCTTTTATGCTGGATTTGTTTCCAGGCGTGTGATGGAGCTCCTCATCCAGGACTGGAGTTTGTCGGCCAAGCTCCGTCTGCCAGCCATCAGCCGCCTGCAGAAGGTCCACAATGTCGACATTGCTTTGCAAGTGCTCAAACGCAAAGGGGTTGACCTTAAGGATGAAAACGGTAATTACGATTTTTTTTTCCTTCTCCTGAGCAAACAGCAAAACAGGCTCAACCTGAAAGAACATTTGTCCTCCACAAAAAGAGATTCAATGTTTTTTAGGTTCCTGTGTGATGTTTTCTTTCACACAAGTGTTACTTATTCATTGTGTTTTCATACTGGGCTGTATTTCACACCATTGTGACATTCAGGGAATGAACACCTGCCATTTTGCCGCACACCTTTTGTGTTTGATCACAAACAGCTGCTGTTGTACAGCTGCACGGCGACATAATTGGATTGCTTTGCCCTTTATGTGACAATATGATTGTTTGCATTGTTGCACTTCTGCATGAGTGAACATGTGTCAGAGTGACTAAGCAGTTCAGGATGAAAACTACTGTGTCAAGACATGAAGGAAATTAGAAAAGTAAACACAATAACTTTGCCTGCTTAATCAACTAAATTACCAAAAAGACCAGACCTTGTGCTTTAAAGTGGCGTTTTAAATCATGAAATGGCTTCAGCAATGGCTGACTTTAATGCCTGAACAGATAATAAAATCCTTAATGAATATACATGAAATGAAAAGTCATCAAAGGCCACAACTAACAATTATTTTATTATCAGTCACTCTGTCAGTTATTATTGTTGGTGGTAAAATTAAAAGTTGCCATTACTAATTCCAGGCAAAGTCTTCAAACTATTTTTTTCCCGATCATAGGGTTAAACCTAAAAGATATTAGATTTACATTGATTTGAAACAAAGAAAAACAGGAAATCCTGATGTTTGTTTGCTGCAGCTGTGATACAGCAAAAGTAGCATTTGTTGTTGTTTCAATGCAATTAACGAAGTGGTTCAAAGATACTTAAGAATTGTGTCTTTTATTTTCAGGCTCTAACATTGATTCCAGAGACATTGTGGACGGACACAGAGAAAAGACACTGAGCCTCTTGTGGAAAATCATCTTCGCCTTTCATGTGTGTATCCGACTTTGTTTCCAGTTGACCAGTAGGGCACAAAGTTGTGGTCCTTCTTCAGCCTGTGAGTTACTGACGTGCTGTTATCAAATGATCTGTTAAGGTGGAGGTGATTTTGGATGCGGATCAGCTGAGGGAGGAAATTGGCTTCCTGAAGAAAACCTCAAGGACCAAACGGAGGCTAGCATCTCTGAGGGCTGATCGGGGCCCTCAGCCGAGTCCTGCAAAGACAAGGGCGCCGTATGAACACAGCAGCACTAAGATCACCCTGCTGATGGACTGGGTCCGAGCTGTGTGTGACTTCTACAATCTGAGGGTGAGTTTGAAATTGAAATGAAAATTTTCATATCATGGCCAAAGAAAATACTTATGTCTTGAGGCAGCTACAATTCTCTGGACTTTCACTCTTGTCGAGCTGTCACAGTCTCCCAACTCCTACATTCAGAAAACAGAAAACGAAGTGTGCTGTCTGTCTGTGCAGGTGGAGAACTTCACTGTGGCATTCTCGGATGGCCGCGTCCTCTGCTACCTTATCCACCACTACCACCCCAGTCTCCTGCCAGAGGAGGCTGTCAGTCACAGCACCACCCAGACTGTCGAGTGCTCACCGAGGGGTCGCCTGGAGCTCAACTGCTCAGCCAGCGACTCCGACAACTCCTTTGACTCCTTGCCGACAGGCCTGAATGGTACTTGTCAGATGTGTCTTCAGTGCAATTGTCTGCTTGGATGCACTTTTAAAAAAGTGTTCAAGAGGATGTTTATACATCACTTGTGCATCACAGAGACATTTGTGGTGCATTAGAGTGTGAAAAACAGGGAATTTGACAAGACGTCTGCAGGATGTAGGGAACAGAATATGGAATTTACGGAAATCTACGAATGCTGACTGAGGAACAAATCAAAATTGATTGACCAACATGTTTCATACAATCATTTCATTAATTAGGGATTTATAGCTCGCTTTATCCACAGAAAACCTACCTTTGGAAATTTATTAGAAAAGTTAAAATCATTAAATCAGGCCTAAGGTTTCAAGTCAACTGCCTAACATTTTGCACTTTGACTTGATTGAGTTTTAATTATAGTGACATAAGCTTAGAAAGAAGTGAATGACGGCATGTCGGCGCCTCAGTAGATAGGGTTTTTAAATTTGTATGTGGGATTTTTAAAGGAGATTATGAAGAAATTGAAGAGACAGTGACAGATTTGTGATGACAGCATGAATTATTTTTGTGAACAGGCCCAGATTCTCCATCAGTGGAATTTAAAGAGCTGCTGGAGAATGAGAAAAACAACTTTAGACTGGTCAACACTGCTGTGTCTTACCTGGGAGGAGTTCCTGCTATGATCAGCCCAGCTGACATGTCCAACACCATCCCCAATGAGAAGGTGAGACAAGACAGCAGGCTTTTTCTGCCCTCTGTGGCAACACAGATTATTGTTTTTCTCAAATGCAGATCTGTTAAAAATCTGCTTAACATTTGAGTCTAAATTAACAATGTATAATAAATTTTGCCCATCCTGTTTTTGATTTAAAGTGAAACCTTATTTCAATCAATTTTTGATTTAAAATCGAAATTGAGACACCTCTAATATTAGAAGAAAGTAGTCAGGTTAAGACTAACAACTGCTGCTAATCCATCATTAAATCTATTTAAACTCTGTAGATGGAAGAACTGCTACAACTTCATCCACATCTGTTTATTTCCAGGTTGTGATGTCTTACCTGTCCTTCCTGTGTGCTCGTCTTCTGGACCTGCGGAACGAAACCCGAGCAGCTCGGGTCATACAGGGCGCCTGGAGGAAATACAGATTAAAGAAAGATCTGCAGCTCTACAAGGTTGATACAATATTTGGTACAACTGCAAAGTGATGCAGTTTTTATTTATCTGATCTACTATATTTAATTTATTCTTGCGAACTAAACTTAGTCATAGGTAGGCCCATATTGTCCATTGATGTCTGGATGGAATCAAAATAATGTGTCACAGTGTACAGTGACTTCAGAAAGTTTCCTGCTTTACTGTGATTTTATTGTTATGATTTTTTTTTGTAGTTACAGTAAAAACAAAATAATGCCAATCTCTGTGTATATCTTATTTTTAAAGTAAATTCTGTAACTGCTGTTTGTGACATTGAAGTAAATAAAAATGTTAAATGAAATACATTTTGTATAGATAAATTAAATAAGTGCTTTGCAATATTTGGCATATTTAGCATTTCCTCATATTTAATGATTACATTGCAAATAAGCTTTGTGCTATTTCATTTGTATAAAGTAGTTGTCGAGCACTGTGCTATCTTTGAATTATTACAAAGGTCAATCAGGTTCCGAACCTGGAAATGAGCCTGTCATTTGACACAATACAATGGAAAAAAAGGATTTTAGGCACTGTAAGCAAGAGGGGGATAATGTGACAATGTAAAAGGGATCACTTGGTCTATCACCTGAATCTGCAGTAATATAAAAATTAAAATTCATGATTTTTTTTTTTTTGTTTCTTGATTTTTGTTTGGACACAGGAAAGAAACATGGCTGCTGTGAAAATCCAGTTAGTTGTGAGGAGTTTTCTCCAGAGGCGCAGAGCTAAGAGGCAGAATCAAGCTGCTGTTGTCATCCAGTCAGTGTGGAGGGGTTACACAGCACGCAACAGGCTGAGGCTAAAGAAACAGGCTCAACTTAGGGCTCTGCAACATGAAGCAGCAACTGTCATCCAGGTCAGTGTTTGTTACATGCGTGAGGATGAAAAGCGCAGTTAAAATGTAAATGTACATGTTGTATATGATAAACCATGTACATCACACAACACATGTTACCGTAGAAGTAAAAGATTGCATGTTTGAGCATTCTCAGGTGTTGATAGTTTGACTTAATCCGATTATGTTATCTTATCCAATCAACATTTGTGCTTTTGCTTTAATTTCAGTGTCTGTATATTTTGTTGTAGCAAGGACACAAGCTTGTGTAATTATTATTTTAATAGATCATTCTTATCTTATCCATACAGGCTCAGTGGAGGATGTTTTCGGCCATGAGGGCTTACCAACGCCTCAGGTACTACGCCATTGTTGTCCAAGCACAATGGCGAATGAGGAGGGCCGCCTCCGCTTATGGAAGAATCTACTGGGCAGCAACTGTCATTCAGAGGCACTCGCGAGCATGGGCTCTGGCAAGAAGAGATCGGGAACATTATCTTTCCCTTAAAGCTGCAACGGTGAAAATACAAAGCGGGTACAGAAGATGGAAAACCCAGAAAACAGAGAAGGAAAACCGTGCTGCAAGAGTGATACAAGCCGTGCTCAAGAAATGGTACAAGGAAAAAATGGTTGAAAAAATTGCTGCTGCTGTGAAGATTCAGTCTTGGTATAGAATGCAGAGGTGTCTCCACCAATACAGGAAGATTAAGAGAAGCACTGTGCTGATTCAAGCCCAGTACAGAGGTCATGCACAGAGGCGCTGGTTTCAGATATTAAAGCTGCAGCACCGCTCAGCTGTTGTCATTCAGAGGGCCTTCAGAGGGCATGCTGTCAGACAACAGGTGGTGAAGATGAGATGTGCTGCAGTCATAATCCAGCGCTGGTACAGGGCCTCTGTGAAAAGAGACATGGAAAGGCAAATGTTTGTGAGGATGAAATGTGCCGCCATTACCATACAGGCAGCTTATCGTGGAAAAGTGGCCCGGGAGTTGCTGAAAAAACAGCACGAGGCAGCAACCATAATCCAGGCAGCTTTCAGGAAGTACACTGCCCAAAGGCGCTACCTTGTCCTGAGAAAAGCTGCAGCTGTGATACAGCAAAAGTACAGAGCCACAATTTTGGCTCGTAAGACAAAGAAGGATTATGTTGCTCTTAGGAGTGCTGCACTTGCCATCCAAGCAAACTGGAGAGGCAGGGCTGTCAGGAAGAGAATAGAGAAGCAGCATCAGTGTGCAACATTGATACAGGCTTACTACCGTCGGCACAAAGCGCAAGCAGAATACAGGTCTAAGAGGGCCTGCGCCTTGACCATACAATGTCACTACAGAGCTTTTGTGGCTGGAAAAGAGACGAGGAAAGCATACCTCCACATGAGAACAGCTTGTGTTACAGTCCAAGCTGGATTCAGAGGCATGAGAGTTAGGACAGAGCTGAAGAAAAAGCACCAGGCAGCGACTGTCATTCAGTCATCAGTCAGGATGTTTTTATGCAGGAAACGGTATTTCCTCTTACAAAGTGCAGCAATTATCATCCAAAGCCGATACAGAGCTCTCCTTGTTTGCAGGGCGCAGCAAAATGAATACAAAGAGCTAAAGCAGGCCACCATAAAGATACAAGCTGTCTACCGGGGATTTAGAGCGAGAGAAGACCTAAAGAAGAGGCACAACGCTGCCACAGCAATCCAAGCTCAGTTCAGGATGCACAGAATGCGTATGGCTTACCTTGCCACCAAGTGTGCTGCCATCATTGTTCAGGAATGCTACAGGGCAAAAATGCTCAGGGATCAACAGATGCAGAGGTACAGGACAATGAAATCCGCAGCTTTAGTCATCCAGGCAGCATATCGTGGCCACAGGGCCAGGAGCAAGATTGCAGAGATGCACCGAGCTGCTACAGTCATTCAGAGAAAGTTTCTCACATTTCGGGATAGAAGGAGATTCCTAGCAATCAGAGCAGCAGTTTGGGTTTGTCAGCAGAGGTACAGAGCAGTGACCCTGGCAAGAAAAGATCGTTTCGACTATTTGTCAAAGCGCAAGGCAGTCATCTGTTTGCAGGCGGCCTACAGAGGAGGTAGGGTCAGAAAGCAGTTGCGCATCCAGCACGTGGCAGCTGTAATAATCCAGTCTCACTTCCGAAAGTACCAGCAGAGAACCTACTACAAGACTCTCCACAGGGCTGTCAGTGTTTTGCAAGCCCGTTACAGAGCCAACAAGAAAATGAGAGAGCAGATGCAAGCCCTGAGTGCCAAGAGAAATGCTGCTGTTGTCTTACAAGCTGCCTTCCGTGGAATGAAATCCAGACGAATCGTCAAACAAAGGCATCAAGCTGCCGGTGTTATCCAGAGAGCTTACAGAGCTCACTGTGAGCGCAAACAGTATCTTACCTTGAAATCCTCCATCCTCAACATTCAGCGGAGGTATCGTGCCACTGTAGCAGCAAAGGAACAAATGAAACAATACCTGCAAATTCGCAAAGCAGCAGTCATCCTTCAGGCAGCATACAGAGGTCAGCAGGTCAGAAAAGAGGTTGCTCGTTGGCACCAGGCTGCCACTGTTGTACAGTCTGCATTCAGAAAGCACAGAGAGGAAGTGAAATTCCAGGCCATACGTCTAGCTGCCATTATCATCCAGAGGCACTATCGCTCCTGTATTCTTCAGAGGCAAGAAAGGGGAAAGTTCCTAAAAGCCAGACATTCTGCTACTGTTCTTCAGGCAGCTTTCAGAGGCCATTGTGTGCGGAGCAGCATCGCCAAGATGCACAGGGCAGCTACTGTCATTCAAGCAAACTTCAAGAGGCATAAACAGCAGTCAGCCTTTAGGAGACAGCTCCGGGCAGCATGTGTTCTACAGCAGAGGTTTAGAGCTCAGAGACAGCGAAACATTGAGGTAAAACTTTATCAACGGCGCAGAAAAGCAGCCATCGTGTTACAGGCTGCATATCGTGGAATGAAAACAAGGCAGAACATCAAACAAAGGCATCAGGCTGCTAGTGTTATCCAGAGAGCTTACAGAGCTCACTGTGAGCGCAAACAGTATATTAACTTGAAATACGCCGTCCTCAACATTCAGCGGAGGTATCGTGCTACTGTAACAGCAAAGGAACAAATGAAACAATACCTGCAAATTTGCAAAGCAGCAGTCATCCTTCAGGCAGCATACAGAGGTCAGCAGGTCAGAAAAGAGGTTGCTCGTTGGCACCAGGCTGCCACTGTTGTACAGTCTGCATTCAGAAAGCACAGAGAGGAAGTGAAATTTCAGGCCATGCGTCTAGCTGCCATTATCATCCAGAGACACTATCGCTCCTGTATTCTTCAGCGGGAAGAAAGGAAAAACTTCCTAAAAGCCAGACATTCTGCCATTGTTCTTCAGGCAGCTTTCAGAGGCCATCGTGTGCGGAGCAGCATCGCCAAGATGCACAGGGCAGCTACTGTCATTCAAGCAAACTTCAAGAGGCATAAACAGCAGTCAGCCTTTAGGAGACAGCGCTGGGCAGCATGTGTCTTACAGCAGAGGTTTAGAGCTCAGAGACAGAGAGACATTGAGGTAAAACTTTATCAACGGCACAGAGAAGCAGCCATCGTGTTACAGGCTGCATATCGTGGAATGAAAACAAGGCAGAACATCAAACAAAGGCATCAGGCTGCTAGTGTTATCCAGAGAGCTTACAGAGCTCACTGTGAGCGCAAACAGTATCTTAACTTGAAATACGCCGTCCTCAACTTTCAGCGGAGGTATCGTGCCACTGTAACAGCAAAGGAACAAATGAAACAATACCTGCAAATTCGCAAAGCAGCAGTCATCCTTCAGGCAGCATACAGAGGTCAGCAGGTCAGAAAAGAGGTTGCTCGTTGGCACCAGGCTGCCACTGTTATACAGTCTGCATTCAGAAAGCACAGAGAGGTAGTCAAATTCCAGGCCATGCGTTTGTCTGCCATTATCATCCAAAGACGCTATCGCTCCTATATTCTTCAAAGACATGTCAGAAGAAAGTTTTTAAAAGTAAGACATTCTGCTATTGTTCTTCAGGCAGCTTTCAGAGGTCATCGTGTCCGGAGCAGCATCGCCAAGATGCACAGGGCAGCTACTGTCATTCAAGCAAACTTCAAGATGCATAAACAGCAGTCAGCCTTTAGGAGACAGCGCTGGGCAGCATGTGTCTTACAGCAGAGGTTTAGAGCTCAGAGACAGAGAGACATTGAGGTAAAACATTATCAACAGCGCAGAAAAGCTGCCGTCATGTTACAGGCTGCATATCGTGGAATGAAAACAAGGCAGAACATCAAACAAAGGCATCAGGCTGCTAGTGTTATCCAGAGAGCTTACAGAACACACTGCAGACACAAGCAGTATCTGACCTTAAAGTACTCCGTCCTCACCATTCAGCGGAGGTATCGTGCCACTGTAGCAGCAAAGGAACACATGCAAAAATACCAAAAAATGCGCAACTCAGCAGTCATCCTTCAGGCAGCATACAGAGGTCAGCAGGTCAGAAAAGAGGTTGCTCGTTGGCACCAGGCTGCCACTGTTATACAGTCTGCATTCAGAAAGTACAGAGAGGTAGTCAAATTCCAGGCCATGCGTCTAGCTGCCATTATCATCCAGAGACACTATCGCTCCTGTGTTCTTCAGAGGCAAGAAAGGAAAAACTTCCTAAAAGCCAGACATTCTGCTATTGTTCTTCAGGCAGTTTTCAGAGGCCATCGTGTGCGAAGCAGCATCGCCAAGATGCACAGGGCAGCTACTGTCATTCAAGCAAACTTCAAGAGGCATAAACAGCAGTCAGCCTTCAGGAGACAGCACTGGGCAGCCTGTGTCTTACAGCAGAGGTTTAGAGCTCAGAGACAGAGAGACATTGAGGTAAAACATTATCAGGAGTTAAAAAAAGCTGTCATTAATCTACAAGCTGCCTTCCGTGGAATGAAATCCAGAAGAGTCCTCAAACAAAGGCATCATGCTGCCAGTGTTGTTCAGAGAGCTTACAGAGGCTACTGCGAACGCAAGGAGTATCTGAAATTGAAATTGTATGTCCTTATCATTCAGCAAAAATATCGGGCTTCTGTTGCAGCTAAAGCACAAAGAACTCAATACCTGGAAAAACGCAGTGCCGCTGTCGTCCTTCAGGCAGCATACAGAGGCCAGCAGGTCAGAAAGGAGGTTGCCCGTCAGCACCAGGCTGCAACTGTTATACAGTCAGCATTCAGAAAGTACAGAGAGGAAGTCAAATTCCAGGCCATGCGTCTGTCCGCCATTATCATCCAAAGACGCTATCGCTCCTGTATTCTTCAGAGGCAAGAAAGAGAAAAGTTCCTCAAACTGAAGCGATCCACCATCACCATTCAGGCAGCGTTGAGAGGCTGGGGTGTCAGGAGGAACATTAGGCGACAAAACCGAGCCGCCATTGTGATCCAATCGTGCTGGAGATCCTCAGTGCAGAGGCGTATCTTCCAACGAAAGAGGGAGGCAGCTGTGAAACTTCAGCGGAGGGTCCGGGCAGTGCAGTTTAGCAGATTGGAGAGGAACAACTACCTCCAAATGAAAAAGGCTGCCATCACTCTTCAGACGCACTGTCGAGCCTGGATTGCAAGACGACAGGTACTGGGCCCTATTTATAGTTCAAAGTTTGCTAGAGCATTTTTTGTGTGCATTTTAGACTACCTTTAGTTTGCATTCACCAGCCTTGTAGGAAATTGCTTAGAACAGGTGATCGCAGCATACTGTCTATAAATAATATGGTGGATAGACAAAACTTAAAACTTTAGTTAACAAGCTAAAGAGGTGAAACACAAAAAGGTTAATACTAGTCCTTTTGCATGCTGTTGTGCTCCAGGTACTAGAGAGCGCCAAAGCAGAGAGGAGGCTCCGTTTTACATCTGCGGTCTTCCACCATCTCAGTGCCATGAAGATCCAACGAGCTCTGAGAGCCCACTGGGCTTTGGAGTCAGCCAAAAGACAAATCCATTCTGTCATCACCATACAGGTACAGCAACATGGAGCCAACAATGCAATTTTGCAACAAAATCAGTCACTGAAAAGTGGTTTTGATGAATTTAATGAATTAGCAAAGAGCACAACATTTCCTACATTGATTTCCTTGTTTTTGTTTTGTTTTTTTCCCCAGCGATGGGTGAGAGCGAGGCAGCAGAGGAGACGTTATCTAGAGGACAGGAGGAAGGTGGTTATAGTTCAGAGAGCGGTCAAGCGCTTGTTAGCTCGTCGCCACAAGGCCGCGTCCGTCATCCAGCAGGCCGTCCGCAAATTCCTCCTCCACGGGCGCCAGAAGAGGGTTCAGCGTGGCATCATCAAAGCTCAGGTACGACAGTCTGTGAAGTTTGTACGAATGGATCCTGCAGTGTTAAAAGATATGTTCAAACTTTGTCAAGTGTGTCCCACAATAGTCAAGTGCTCATGTGAACATTAAAACTTAAAGGCTTTGCTTGCTGTCGTCATTCCTCTGAGCTTCAGAATGGGCAAATAATCACCATACAGTTTCTATAGACAACTCTTGGGGCATAACCAATGATGTTAAGTAATAGCACTGAGTCCAAAGTACATTCTCAACCTTATCAAGACATACTGTAGCTTTTCCTCAGCCATAGTTATTGGCTCCACAACATGTCAGGTGTCATTCTACAGAAACAAACATGCTGCTTTTAGATACTGTTAGACTTTGAATGGTTGGTCATATTGTCAAAGTGTCTTTAAAGTGTTTTTCTGGCTTTTTTCCTCATTTTTAAACCTCCTGCTCTCCCTCCAGGCTCTGTGGAGAGGACACCGCTCCCGCCGACTGAACGACAATCCCAAAGTGGTGAAGTTGAGACACAATTTGCGCAAAGTCTCCGCCAGCGTCCGAGAGGAGGACAAACTTTGCAACAAGACATCGTCTGCCCTGGACTACCTCCTTCGATACAAACACTTCTCCTACATCCTAGAGGCCCTGAAAAACTTGGGTAAGATATACATTTCTGGTTGTTTACCCATATGATGAGCTTCCTGCTACTACTGCAGTAGTACTAGTAGTAGCAGCAGCTACTGAGAAACCCTTATGTAGTCAATGAAAGGCAGCAGGGTGTTTTTTATTTTCTCCCTTTCGTTTGTTCTTTATGAGACTATTAAGCTGTATTTAAACCATGTGACCAGTAGAGTGTGGTGATGAATCTATATTGCTGAGCTTGTACTTGAAGCTTAATTCTGCAGTGCTGGCGATGAATTCATCATGATACAGGGTTCCTAATCTGAACTGAAAGTATTGAAAACTGTCAATTAATCTAATAGATACATTTAAATTTTAGAGCATGTCAGAATTACCTTTTAGAAAGGGCTGCAACATATTGTTTTCATTATCTATTAAACTAGTCAATTAATCAAGTAACATTTAGGAAAAGTCCATCAAAGATTATTTCATGATTAAACAGAGTTTAATGCTAATGTGGGACAGTTGTGATGGACAATTAACAGCTATATGTATGAGGTTCAGGGACTTGAGTCTGTTATGCTCTTGCTATTACAGTTATTTCAAACACTTAATTGTTATGATTCAATTCTGGGCAAGTTATGACCCCCGATTGTAACCACTGTGATTTTGCAATAGCATTGAGCATGAGAAACAGGAAAACCTTTAGGAAGTGCGGTAGAACAAATTCCTCTTCTGTTGTTTTTGTGGTTATGTGTTGTAATAGCAAAAGTGCTTGTGTTTTCAAGATGAGACTGAGTTCATTTCTTCAAGAAGGTGGTGGACGTGTGTTCCCAAAATTGTGTGTGTGCCCTTCATAGACAAAACAAAAAGTTGTTGAGTGTCATTGTCTAATACTTGATTCTGATGACGTGAGCATGATCTCAGGTGTTTTTTCAGTAGTGCAGTTTGTCCTGAGTGCTAACAAAAGACTATGTGTGTGTGTGTTGTTACACGTGTGTGCATGCACAGAGACCGCCACCAGGCTGTCCCCAGAGTGCTGTGAGCGACTGGTAGAGAGCGGAGCCACCAACGTCATCTTCACACTCATCCGCTGCTGCAACAGGAGTGTCCCCTGCATGGACGTCATCACCTACTCCATCCAGATCCTCCTCAACCTCTCCAAGGTACAAACCCAGACCTGCTCTCCTTATGTAGCTCAGAGTGTGAAACCTGAAGTTAATGTGAATCAAAGGGATCAGATGACTGTGGGTCCTTTTGAAATGAAGCTGAACTTCTAATCTAAAGGTAGAAAGGTATAAATAGACAAAATATACGTCAGAATTTTTTATATGACGTCACGGTTTGGACAAAGAATTTGGCTTGACTGAACATTAAAATCCAAGCTGACTAGTCTGGGAACCAGACAAATCTGGGAGCTCATGTTTTATTTGCTCAGGCAGATGCTTCTGGTCCCCCTCTCGTTCAGACAATTAATTTCAGCCAGCCTGACCCAGAACGGGCCAATCACAACTGTGCAATGACTGACATCTTCGGAGCCTTAGCACTTTACGCAGAATACGTGATGACGTAATTTTTGGCTCATGCACTCCTGTGCCAGGACCCTAAAGCCAACATAGCATAGACATAGCACAGTAAAGAGGAGCACTGTTGAGGCATTATCGAAAACAACCGTGATAGCTGCAGCTAATGTAGAACTTTCTGTTGAAGTAATATTTTAATTACTTTATTACTATATTTGTTTTTATTTTTCATGGAGGGCACCTTAAGGGTCCGTACACATGCCTTGTCTTTAACAGCCTGAAAAGGGGGATGTTTGGTGCTGGGCATGACTCTTGTGCCTTAGGGGCTGTATACATGCCACGTCTTTAGTCGCTTAGAAAATACAAGGTTGGGTGCTCTGTGCAACTCTTGTGCCCAGCCTATTTACCTGAAATCTGGAGTGCCGAGCTGATCTTCTTCCAGGTACCGCTTGTTTGTAGGCCTATTGTCCGTGGGACATGTGTAAGCAACCCTGCACTAAAATGAACATCTTCTCCACATTTATCACAGACTGATATTTAAGAAAGAAGGGAAAGATATCTGCTGGCTGTGATTGGTTGGTTCTCGTTACATGACATGGTGTGTACTGCTGTGTTTCAAAAGTTGAACTCAGTTTATCTCAGGGCGCCTTGAAATATAGGCTTGCATGCACACCGTGATAGCTTCACTCTGGCATTTGAGTGTGCTGCATGTCTATATTAAAAACAATGAATTTGAGGGCGCAAAAAATGTGGCATGTTTACAGCCCCTAACACTGTTTATCTGCACACACTGCCCACACCGTAGTGACACAGATGCGGTTGAAAAAATCTGCAAAGTATACCTTTAAGATAATATCTCTTGTTATATCTCTTACAATACACAACAAGGGTTTTATTGAAGATTTTGTGCAGGGCTGTTTTTAATACATTTATACTGCAGGGCACATTGACTTCCTGTCAGCCTGCTGTATTTACGTCACTTCAGTTTTTACAGTCGTTACATTGCAGTAGTAATACTGCATATGGTGCAACATAACAGGTTAGTACCAAGGAACTTGTCTGACATTTGAGTAAAGTTCCCATATTTCATGCCAGTGAGTTTAGCAAAGGACAGAGGGAGAAGGTCACATCATTTCCTCAACCACTCTAATCTCTCACTTCCCCAAAGACTTTCTGTTCCTTTTATTTCAGCTAATTGACGTTCAGGCTCAGTTTCTCTTCTTTATTTTGATCAGTCTATTTTTATTAAAGTGCTTGTGACATCTCAAATGTGGCTTCGACCTGCAACTGAACACATATAGCCCATTTTGTAGAAAATACCTAT